AGAACCCGGAACTAACACATGAGAAAATTCAAAAATTTAATTCACCTTAGTATTTAATTTAAAAATTCACATACTGCTCAATAAAGGAATTTAAAGTAAATATGTGAATGATCGGTTTTACCAGAAAAAATTTAATAATAATTTTTCTTACTTTTTTATCTAATTTTTAACTATAAAACGAAAAAAATTATGTAACCAATGTTAAAATTAAATTTTCTACACGATAGAGGTAAAATTATTTTTAAACGCATTATGGTTCCCGAATTATTACAATAGCAAATAAAAAAAAAGCAAATTTTTACGAATCTCTTTTAAACTTTTATAAAAATAAAATGACTGAAAAATGACTTGGATTTTATATATATCGAAAATTGGCTAAAAAATGGTGACGTCCTTTGTGGATGGCTCCTTTATTAATAATTATCACTTCAAAAATTCAAAAATATCAATTAAATTCAAAATTTAGAAAGTTCGAAAATTGCGTCAAACATTGTTTTATGAACTAAAGATTTTCACTGATATCTTCGATTCGGTTATACTTCGATCAAGTTTGATTTGCCAAAAATGTCGAAGGTTGCTAAAAGAAAGCTATCAAGTAGAAATATAACACAAAAATACAAAATACTAAAAGAAATCGACAAAGGAGAGTCATCTATATCTATATCAAAGAAATATGGCATTCCAAGCAAACATTGTCTGGATGATCAAAAGAAAAAATACAACATATTCAGATTTCAAAAAAAAAAAACTTCTGCAAAAAGAGTGCGGATGCGTGTCTCCCTAAATAAGGATTTGGATAAAGCATGTTACATGTGGCTTTTAAACACGCGACACCATTCCTGTGTCTTGAACCATTTTTAAATTTAAAACTTTGCATTTTGCAAAAGAACTTGGTTGTGACAATTTTTAACCATTTGAAGGATGGTTAGGTAGATGGAAAAAAAGAAACAATGTATCGTTTTAAACAATATAACATTTTTTTTATTCGTTTGTCTAAAAAATAATATTAAGCATGGAACTCTCATTTCCATTTCATCGCTCATAAACCATTAAATTATCAATCCATTTCTTTTGTTTTAATTTGTTTAAAGTCATTACCACGTTTTGGTTTATTACCACGCACTACATTAAAAGCAAGTAAAGTCCTAAACCATAGCTAATAAAATTTATGCTGATATTAAAGTTGCTTTTCTTATTTTTCATAGGTTTTTAAAATCGAGAGGCATATAAAAGCGAGAAAAGTAGTGGAAACAAGAATTGTAAGATACGACTAACTGGGTGATTAGAAAAACTTTCAATGTTTGCTATTGGGAAATCAAACAAATCCCTTTGCTTTAAGGAATTAAAAGAACTCCATGTCGTTACAGTGCGCAAAAAAAGAGCTGAATGACCTCTGAACTATTTGAGGAGTGGGTTAGAGAAAACGATAGAGAGTTTTTTTTAGAAAGCCGTAAGGTAACATTGGTTATTGATAATTGCACTGCCTATCCGATATCTTAAATCGGTCACACTCTACTTTTTCCCCCCTACACAACTTTATGTTTTCAGCCGATGGATCAAGGAGTCATTTGATTGTTGAAGTGTAAGTACCTAACTTATTTAATTAACAAGATCATAAATGCTATTAATAGCCGATACTTACTCTCCATACTCGATGATATGAAATTGCTTGTTTATTTTTGGAGGTTTTGAAAACTATGACATTATTAACTGCTTCCGCAAAGCAGGATTTAAGGAAGGAGTAGGAATACCAGACAAAGATAAACTATGACATTATTAACTGCTTCCGCAAAGCAGGATTTAAGGAAGGAGTAGGAATACCAGACAAAGATAAACTATGACATTATTAACTGCTTCCGCAAAGCAGGATTTAAGGAAGGAGTAGGAATACCAGACAAAGATAAACTATGACATTATTAACTGCTTCCGCAAAGCAGGATTTAAGGAAGGAGTAGGAATACCAGACAAAGATAAACTATGACATTATTAACTGCTTCCGCAAAGCAGGATTTAAGGAAGGAGTAGGAATACCAGACAAAGATAAAGAGTACTTTCCTGCATCAAAAAATTCAATTGATCAGTTACGTCGATGCGATGAGGTTCTTGTTCAGGAAGATTTTTATATCATATCAATTGTTATCATATCTTACGAAGATATGATAACAATTGATGATGACGTTTCAGTTTTGGGAGGAGTGATGACAGATGAAGATATAGTTCAAGATATCATTGAGATAGTTGAAGATAAAATGCAAGAAGAAGAAGGAAACGAAACGTTGGATGAAACGGTGACAAAGCCAAAGTTTGAAGAAGTTCGTAAAGCAATCAATACTCTTGTTAGTTTTTTTTTAAAGAGATTATGTTTATTAATGGTTTTGCTTTATGCAATATTGCAATATTTCTTGAAAGTTTTCTTTCTAGAAAGCTTATATGAGTCTTCCAAGATAAATTTTATGTTGCTTATCATGAAATATCTTATATATCTTGAAAGTTTTCTTTCCAGAAAGCTTATATGAGTCTTCCAAGATAAATTTTATGCTGCTTATGTTCCAAGATAAATTTTCAACTGGAAAAACACTAAGGGAAGTTAACAGATGTTTGTCTAGTAATATTATTTTATTTATTTTCAGATCAGGTAATTTTAGAGGAAGATTATCTGTTTTATTTTGTTCATGAAATAGCATATACTTAACTTTTGTAATGTAAAACGATAGTTAACATATAAACCATTCACTTATTTTCTTTAACTTTTCATTAACTACTTTAAAAAGCGTTTTAATATATCTATGTGAATAAAACAGATTGGAGTCATCTACAAATAAAATAAAATTTAACAAGTTTGATGTAAAAGATAATTCATTTATATAAAGTGAAAATGATAGCAGTCCTAAAATCGATCCTTGAGGAACTTTAGTATGTTAATATAATTTTGGACGTTTTACCTGTTTCATATTGTATAAACTGTTTTCTACTTGATAAATATTCTTTAAACCAAAGTAAGTTATTGTTTTTTATTCCATGATGTTCAAATTTTTAAAGAAGAATGACATGGTAGACGGTGTGGTACTTAAAGAAAGTTTATTGTGACTTTTGTTGCGATTACTCGAATAGTTGTCAAAAACCTGTCCAATCAACTTTTAAGAGAGTAATCTACATTGATTACAGCTTTCAAAGGTTACAAATTACATTTCAAAATTTTTCTTTATCAACGTTAGAGCGCCAATTTGACTTCCACTTGAATAAATATACTATTAACCCTAACCCTGACCACGATTTTAAAACGATTTTCAGCTTCTTTCTTCCTTGAGTTAGTTTGTTATACCTACTTGGTTGAAGCTGAAAAGTTTACACAATGTGCGAGCAGATATTTACGATTTTTACGGCAGATCAACAGCTTTTTTACTTAGGTGTAGAAGTGTAATGGCTACGAAATATTTAGAAACTTTTATTCATAGTAGGAGAAATGCAAACCCAGAATATTTAATTTATATGTTGAGTTATTACATTAATGTCATTCTGGCTTGGAAGATGCACAAAATGTTGCGTTCGCAGGTATTGAAGCAATGAAGAAAAAAGAACTACGTATGATTTTGGAAGGACTACATTCAACTTTGTTTTGTAAATAAGACCTAAGTGACTGATTCTTAAATGATTTACTTGAAAAATATAGCAAGAGTCAAACATTAAAAATTGTATAGATTGTCTAATACAACATGTCTTTATCTTGTCATTGTCATACGCGTCGAAAATTACAGCAATATGAAGTTGCAATAAATAAAAATATTTTAAGTAAAATTTTTTATATTATAAATTGAAGTTCAAGAATACTGTTAACTTTAACTGTTAATTTGTTACCGAGGCGCCCACAGGTTTTTGTTTGATGTTTCAGATATGAAAGTTTCACGTATTGTGCTAACTCCAAATTTAAGTATATTCATGGCTATACCAATTAAGGAGACTTTGCAAAATATTGAACCAACAATTTTTTAACTTTTCTTTCTTACACTAAATTTTGATTCATCGAGAGGTTTTACTTTTAGTTTTTTGGAGTGGGGGTAGGGTCGGAATTATTATAACAATAATAATTGTTTTCATTACAATTACAATAATCTAAAATTAACAGTCTCTTGCAAAAGTTTAGAATCAGCTTAATACTTTTTAGGTAAATTCATAATTTATGTTATATACATACATGTGTATGTAATTTAATTTAACATAAAATAAATTTTAGCTTTGTATAGCCATTTTCAACAAATCATGGGTTTACCTACTAAATACTTAACTGATTCTAAACTTTTGCAAGAGACTGTAATAAAATTAATTAAAATTTGGTTGATGTTTTATTTTACTTTTTTAATATTACTCGATTGACATACTATTTTTTAACTATGTGAGCGGCCTAGCCTTATATCTTTTAAATACGAGTTAATAAGAGCGTTATTAATAAGTATGCTTTAAAAGTATTTGTTAAAACTTCAAAAATTAAAATGGTGAAAGATTTTAATTTTTCTAATTTAAAGTATATCCGTATCCGTATATTGCATGAACTGAACTAATTCTAAAAACTATGTTTTTTTAAACACAACTTAGAATTTAAAACCAAATTAAACTTAGAGTTTTGGATCTGATTTTAAAGATTTTAAACATTAGGTTTATTACTTTGTCAAAAACTTTGTCATTTTAAACATTAGGTTTATTACTTTGTCAAATTACTTTGTCATTTTAAACATTAAATTTATTACTTTGTCAAAAAAATCAAAATAATATAATTTTTTTTTAAATAAAAAATTAAGATACTGTCACTTTTAAACGCAAGTTTTAAATTTAACGACAAAAATATTCATAACGCTTCATATTCCAAAGTTCAAATTACTAAGTTAATGCGCGAAGATTTGGGGTTATGCTGCGACATATTACGGTATAATATTAATAAAGTTTCAAACCTTTGTTTTGCAGCGCAAAACAAAGGTTTGAAACTGGCCTTAAAATTAAAAGAAATATTTTTATATTTGTATTTTATTTATAAAAATCATTTAACAGTATTTTCTTTTCAGAATTACACTGTTAAGTGGAAACTTTCATAGGCGTTTTAGATGCTAGCTTAGGTGGGTCATTAAACTTTGGTAACATTAAACCAAACCTAGTCTCAATTCCAGAAAAAGTTGAAACTGCCAAGCGTAAACCACCGATGTGTTCAGGATGTAAAGATACTTCAGGATTTTCAGGCGTAACTTCAGTTTTCGTATAACTACAACAAATAAAGCACAAGTGTAGAAACAATATATTAACGAGTGAAAACTAAATTAATAAATTTAATTAACGAGTAAAAGTTAAATCGTAACAAGTTTAAGTTAAATCGTAACGAGTAAATCGTTAAAATCCATTAAGGAGTTAAAACTTAATCGTTTAACTCAAGTATCACTACTAAATAAAATTTAATCGTTTAACTCAAGTATCACTACTATATAAAACTCAATAGTTTAACTCAAGTATCACTACTATATAAAACTTAATCGTTTAACTCAAGTATCACTACTATATAAAACTTAATCGTTTAACTCAAGTATCACTACTATATAAAACTTAATCGTTTAACTCAAGTATCACTACTATATAAAACTTAATCGTTTAACTCAAGTATCACTACTATATAAAACTTAATCTACTATATAAAACCTGAACAAACTGGAAAATCTAAAGTCACTTTTTATAGATATTTAATAAAATTCGTTTTTTATTGCTGAATTCGTTTTTTCTTGTTGAATTTGTTTTTTATTGTTGAACCAATTTTGTTTAGCATTTTTGAAGAATGTAATTTAAAGCTGATGTCCAACTATTTTAAGTATTTACTTTATTTTAGAGTATTTACTTAAGAGCTATAGCTATATATATATATTGAGAATTATAGTAACTGACAGAGATCATCTGGGTCATATTTAAAAAATTATGTAAAACATTTTGCAAAAAAAAAAAAAAAAAAAAAATCCGGAAAAAATCGGAAAGTTTTTTGTCCATATTTGTCTTTATGTAACTTTAAATTAATGGCTTTCTTAATATTTTTTTTCATCTCCTTTTTTTTCTTTTTCGTATGAGTAATAAGGTGTCCCAAATAACAACATTTTTGAAAAACTTATGCTCCCACCTCTTTAATGTGTTCTATATGATAAAATAACACTGGATTTTAATAAAAAATATTTTCAGGGATTCCCTTGAACAATGGGTTCAAGGGAATCCCTGAAAATATTTTTTATTATTTGTTCATTATATGTTCAAGGGTCTTAGAGCACCACTAAAATTTTTTTTTTCCTTAAAAAATTGTTTAAATCTAGTGTTATTTTATTATATAGAACACATTAATGGGGCGGCAGCATAGATTTGGGAAACCCGAATGGGTAATTAATTAAAAAGTTTAAAAACCTAAATATTGCAAAAATATTTATTTGAACTTGTACTTACGGAAGACTTTTTGGAAAGCCGGAAAAATGAAAAGTTAACAAAAAAATATCCGGATATGTTCTGAAAAAGATAATTCCTGTACTGAGTGAGAAAAACTAAAGGAAGACAGAATCATTATACAAAATTCACCGTGAGATAACTCAAAGAACACCATATAACACTCTCGACAGGAAATCATGTAACACTAGTTTTACCACATTAATTATATATAAAATTGTAAAAAAATATTTTCCAAGTTCGAAACAGTTTTTTACAGTGTAAAAAAATTTTAAAATTTATAGTTAACTGTAATTTACTGCAACTTGAATAAAAATTTTAATTTACACTTTAATTGACAATCCTATTCTTTGTGAATTTAGCCTTAAAAATATTTTAGTATAATTACCTCATTTAAAGCTAAGTAATAAATGCACTTACCCTCCACCAAAATCAATATACAAAAATCTTTGAAGCATTTCATATACCATCAGAGTTACGCCAAATTGTGGCGAAGAGCGTAAAACACGAGCTGTTATAGTTTAAAGAAATATTAAATTTAAAAATGTAAAATAATAACTTTATTCTTTATAATGAAACATAATATAATGATGAAGCATAAGGCTATAATAAAAATAAAATTGCGCGCATTTTTAAAATATCAATACACCAATATTTTAAAATCTGTTTATTCAAATTTTGATTTTAAAATTTGATTAAATCTTTTAGCTATTAAATATCATCATATATCGAAATAATGACTTAAACCAAAATAATAAAAACAATTCAATTCACAAATAACATGCACCTACCTGGTCCACCTTTAAAAAAAGCAGTTCCACCTTCTTCAACATAGATTTTACGAGCACAGTCTATAACACCCCTGTATGTCTGTTGGCCTCTACGAGCTTTCACCTATTGCAAAGACAAAAAAATTTATCTTTATAAATTTAGTTTTATTTACATATACTTTAGTTAAGATCACCTAAAAGCTATTAAGTATTCGTATATATAAAAGCTATTAAGTATTGGTATATACCTGAAGTCTTGTCTTGATTACATCGGCTGGTGTACAAAGGTAAGCAGCTGGTACTCCTTTAATATATTTACAACTACATTTTCATAATTTATAAAAAATCAACTTATATATTTATAACTAAACTTTCTTTATTAATTTTATAGATTTATTATTATAAATGATCTTAATATCTCTCTAAAGTTTTCAACGGCTCATCATTTTATTGACGATACCAACTTACTCATAACAAACAAATCATTAAAAAAAGTTAACAAACATATTAATCATGATTTATGTAACCTTCTTCAATGGTTGCGCTCTAACAAACTAAGTCTTAATACCAACAAAACTGAACTTATTATTTTCAAATCAAATCAATCTAAAATGTATAAAAACCTAAACTTTAGACTAAGTGGACAAAAAATCTTTCCTGTAGTTTCGTTAAAATATCTTGGAATCCAAATTGACTCAGATCTATCTTTTTCCTCTCATCTTAAAAACATCTTAAAATTGTGTAGATCAAAAGGGATGCTCGCCGAAATTCGCCACTATGTCAACAATGAAACTTTACTTAATATATACTATGCAATTTTTGGATCTCATCTTAGATACGCTTGTCAGGTTTGGGGACAATGCAAGTCTAATGCTTTTTTAAGGTTATGTAACCTACAAAACAAAGCTTTAAAAGTAATATTCTTTCAATAGTATCATTCTAACTCTGATAATCCTTAACTTTCTATCAAAAATACTCTAAATACTATTATTATTGTTGTTATTATTATTGCTATTGTTATTATTGTTATTGTTGTTATTATAATTACGAATATAATCATTATTACATTAAATAGTATTATTGATATTATTATAATCGTCTTCATTTAATTTACATTATTATGTTTATATAATTGCTATTAATATTTAATTGGTGTTTACCTCAGATTAGTACTCGTACTATTAGTAAACAACCATGAAATGTTAACTTTTATTCCAGAATATATATTGTTATTGTTGTTGTTTTTATTGTTATTGCTTGTTAGGATTGAAGAAAATTTATGTTACAAACTTTATTTTATTTTATATAAAGCAGAATTTTCTTTTACTATCCAAGTTATTTTTAAAGTTATGTTTTAAAAATTAGGAAAATATTTCAAAAAATAATAATAAGTTTACTTTTTTTAATTAATTTTTAATATTCATATAAATTATATATATATATATATATATATATATATATATATATATATATATATATATATATATATATATATATATATATGTATATATATATATATATATATATTTATATATATATATATATATATATATATATATATATATATATATATATATATATATATATATATATATATATATATATATACACAAAAACTCTTTCCCGTGGTTTCATTAAAGTATCTTGGAATCCAAATTGACTCAGATCTATTTTTTTTGTATTTTGTATTAAAAAATATAAAATACAAAAACAGCAGTAGAATGAGTTCCGACGCCAAAACAAAACGAATAAAAAAGAAGCATAGTAGTATTTTTTAACGGGTTTTTCTTGATTTGGATAAAATATATGGCTGAAGACTGCCATTAGGCATGAAACTTTTAATTCCATTATAAAGTTGTATTTTTCTATTTAATTATACTTTATATATATATTGATCTATTTTGTAAAAACTGCTTTTAAATTATATTGATCACAAGAGGATTTGTATCTCAACCAGATACATTAAGTAAACAAGAGGATTTGTATCTCAACCAGATACAATTATAAACAGCAATATATATATATATATATATATATATATATATATATATATATATATATATATATATATATATATATATATATATATATATATTTATATATATTTATATATATATATATATATATATATACACACAGTATTGGACAAAACATTTGCAACCAACATCGAAAAATGCTGAAAAGTATTCCTAATTTTACATGTCTTAAAAACAAAACGAACTTTACTACCACAGCAAACAGTTTAGGAGTCTGGAGTCATAGCATGCCATGATATAAGCAATCAGCTGACAGGTGATAGCACACAGGCAGAACTTCGTTGAAGAGTGCCATTTTGCAGCAGACAAAACAAGTGCAACTTTTTTGGTTTGTCTCATTTTCTCAAGTCTGGTCCGTGTCAATGTCATGGAAGTTTTTTAATAATTAAAGGAAGTATCCAGAAGATTCCAGAAGTTTCCAGAAGCATGCAGAAGCTTCCAGAAGAGGCATCTGGAAGCATCCAGAAGTATCTAGAAACATTAAGAAGCATCCAGACGCATCCAGAAGCATTGAAAAGAAGCATCTAGAATCTTCCAGAACAGGTTCACACAGGTTCATTTTACTATATAAGAGACATGTAAACCGACATGTTCAGTCAGTATATGAAAGTCAATCAGTCAGTATTATCAAGACAGTTTATCGAAGTGAGTTTTTTCAAAGTGTTTTATCGAAGAACATTAATACAAAAAGTGAAATACAACAAGTGTTTTATTACATTAAAACAGTCTACATCCAACCAAGACGTTGTGTTCCACAGAGCATTGTTGTATCATCACAAGGTAAATGTAACACAGTAAGCATTGAGAAGCGTGATTATTTATTTTTATTATTTTGATGACTTCAAGTGCAAAAATGGCTCCTGACAGTCTTGGATTGGAACTAAGAAATAAATTATTGGCGATTACGTAAGTGGAATGTCACAAAAAAGCATTTGTGATAAATATCGCATGAAAAAATGGACCGTATCAATACTATGTTCCAAATATCGTTCAACGGGGAAGTTGGCAGCAGATAACAAAGATGGAAGACAGCGTTCCACCACTTCTAGAGAAGATTCTATGATCGTCAGATCAGTCAAAAAAGATCCCTGGATATCATCAGTCAAGATAAAAAAGCAATTAGAGCTGCCTGTATTGGACCAAACAATCAGAAGACATGCTGTTGAAGCTGGATTGTTTTCTTGACGCCCTGCAAAGAAACCGCTGATTTCACTAAAGAACCAGAAGAAAAGACTCCTGTTTGCTACATCTCATATTGACTGGAATGTGCAGAAATGGCAAACTTTCCTGTTCAGTGATGAATCGAAGTTTAACATCATTGGGAGCGATGCCATTTGCCGTGTACGTCAACCGGCCGGAAAACGCCTCAAATTATGTTACTGCCATAAGACCATGGTGGAGACAATGTAATGGTCTGGGGTGTTTTTCTGCTAACGGTTTAGGTCCAATACATCGAAACGATGGATTAATGGACCGTTTCATCTATGAAAATATCCTGAAAGATGTTATGTTATCTCATGAATGGAATACGCCAATAAAATGGGTTTTTCAGCAAGACAACGATCCAAAACACACTGCAAAAGTAGTCAAGCAGTGTTTTCAAGACAACCACCTATCGGTGATGGATTGGGCACCTCAATCTCCGGATTTCAACCCTATCAAGAACCTGTGGGAGATCATTAAAGCCATAAAAGACAAACACCTTTATAAATTTTTAATTTTTGATATCATTGACTTCTACCCTTCTATTAATGAAACACTTCTAAAAAACTCTATCAAATTTGCAGAGCAACACTTAACACTAAATAAAGAGAATATATCGTTAATTTTTCATGCAAGAAAGTCTTTGCTTTTCAATAATAATCAGGTTTGGATAAAGCAATCAAGTGGTTTATTTGATGTTTCCATGGGAGCTTTTGACGGCGCGGAGGTTTGTGAGCTTGTAGGAATATTTCTTCTTTTCGAAATTTCAAAATTTTATAACAAGTTTGAGGTTGGTTTATACCGTGATGATGGATTAGCAGTTTTTAGGAATAAAAGCGGCCCTCAAATGGAAAAAATAAAAAAGGATCTTTCCGAAATATTTAAATACAATGGCTTACGGATTTCTATACAATGCAACATGAAAATTGTCAACTACCTCGACGTCACTCTAAATCTTAGTGAGTGCACCTTTAAACCTTATCTCAAACCTGATAATACATTAAATTATATCCATGCTGATTCAAATCACCCTCCAAGTATACTAAAACAAATACCACACTCGGTTGAACTTAGATTATCTACAAATTCTTCTACCAAAGAAATATTTCAACAAGCTGTTCCTCTATATAATGAGGCTTTATTAAAGTCTGGTTTTAAATGTAATCTAACATATAATCCTAAAGCAATATCAACTAAAAAACGGAACAGAGCACGCAACATCATTTGGTTTAATCCTCCATTTAGCAAAAATGTTAGCACCAACGTAGGAAAATGTTTTTTGAAATTAATTGGCAAACATTTTCCTAATAATAACAAACTACATAAAATCTTTAACAGGAACACAGTCAAAGTTAGCTACAGTTGTATGCCAAGTGTGAAATCGATCATAAATTTGCACAACAAGTACATTTTATACAACAATGCAAACTCTAATCAAGAAAACTGTAAGTGCTTAGATAAAAATTTCTGCCCGTTGTCCAATAGATGTTTAACAAGCAGCATTGTATACCAAGCAACTGTAACCACCACTAGTGATTCATCTCCTAACGAAAAATCTAACATCGGTGTAAGTGAGACTTCTTTTAAATTGAGATACGCTAACCACGTTAAACCTTTTAACATCCCAAAATACAAAAATGATACTGAGCTGTCAAAGCAGGTATGGAAAATAAAAGAAGCCAATTTAGTTCCTATAGTTAAGTGGAAAATTCTCAGGCGATGTAAAGCATATAATCCTACATCCAAATCTTGTAAATTATGTCTCACCGAAAAATATGAAATCCTAAATTATAAAAATACCAATCTACTAAATAAAAGGAGTGAGATTGTTTCTAAGTGCAGACATAGAAACAGATTCCTCCTTTCTCAATTTGACACTGGCGATTAGAAAATATGTTTTTTCCATAATATTATTATTATTATTGTTATTATTATTATTGTTATTATTATATTATTATTATTATTATAATCATTATTATTTTTGCTATTATTTGTATTATAATTATTTGACGTCAGAACTCATTCCATTGTTTTTTTTGAATTTTGTAACGGTTTTTTAATTGTA